GGGCAATAACTGAAAAATTATGTAGGGTAGAATCATCATTGTTGTGCACTGCACTTCTCCTAAATATGATTTATCCACCTTATGAAGCTTCAAGTTGATACCTCAAATACTTTTTAAGATATGGTCCGCGACTAAAATGAGGACGGGAAGGACAGACTGACGGTCAAGGACAGGCGGACGGACGGAGACTAATTTTATATCCCCAACCACCTTTTCGGCGGGATAATTAAACATTTTCCAGCTTATAGCTAAAGGAAACTCAGAATTTTGCTCACAATAATGAGACATGAATTCTGAATGAAGTTCAGAAACTTTGTGTAAAAGACTGATTTACGGACCAAATTAAGTTATTGTACAACCTGGTATGGTAAATGCTTACTGTGAAACGCATATGGAAAACCAAGTCTCATTTTAGGGAAAAACTGTTTTATTGCCCGCAAGAAATGAAATTATTCAAAAAAAGACAACAAGAAAAGCATTGATGCAAAGCATCAAAGGGCGACGCCCAAAAGAATTTGACCTAAATACTTAACAAAAGATGTGTACTTTATTGCTGTACCATTTTCATGTGACCTGGAGGCTAGGCCCAGTTTAAGTTGAAACTTTAAACCAAAAAGAATAGACACTGTCTTGCCAAGATGCAAAGACAATTTATAGTCAATTAACCAATCTTAAGATTTATTTACCAGATACAAGGATACCTGAGTCATCATCATATAATCACATGCACGAGCATCAAACCTGGGAAGAAAATCTAATCATATTTTTTCTTCCCAGGTCTGATACTTGTACTTGTGCATATAATAAAGCTTATTGCTTAGGGTTGCAGACATGTCATTGACATATATTAGACATAAAAGAGGACCTAAAATGAACATCAGGGGGACACCATAGGTATCAGAGCAGGAGTAGATTTTAGGAGTATGTAACCAGCCACATCAACCAGCTGCTATCAGAGATAAATCTTGAACCATGTAAGAATGTCATTACATATGGCAGATGCTTGAAGTTCCATGAAGAAGAAGGAAAAAGAACTTCTTCATGTGCAGTAATTAGTGTGATCAACTGTATCAAATGCCTTTTGTAGATCTAACAGTATCATGCAATACTGCCTTTGTCCATTTCAAATTAAATGCACTTTATTAAATGAATAAAACATGTGCCAGTCGCAAAACCACTTCTAAACCCTGACTGAAAACTGCCTGACCATGACTCGAACACATGACTTTCAGAAGACCAACTGAGCTATCGGCCGCTACACATTTTCTCTTAATAATGAAACAGTTCTAAACCACAACATATTTCTCCACTATATTGATTAATGTCCTTGAATTTCTGATGTTTTACAGAGCATAGTGAATTAAACTCATGGTTATATGCAGTCACAGGATGAGAAAATTTTAACTTTCAGCTTCACCATAACTCAAACCTGTGACCCACAGAATATTATGTACCGCGGCTGAAGCGATTGAGCTATCTTTGCCACTTACACATTTTCTCCCCTAAATAGTGAACAGTTCTAAACCATGACAGATATTTAGATTTTTAAATTAACAGATAAATAATTCTTAATTAATAAATTAGAAAAAAAAAACTTACATACTCATATAGTCTTAATTAAGATAACAATTTATATACCATTGTATAATTATTTTTTACTAAAAAGGGCTTAGACAGTTATTGGTTGTGCCATTATTTATAACAGGTCAATTTGAAAGTGAACATAACTGTGCTAATTCATGTACAATATTTATTTTTTGTACAGATAAAAAACTAACCTTTTTTCTATGATAAGAAATTTTATGAAGTCTGATTTGTATTTTGCATCAAGGCACCGGGCGAAAACATGAAAATTATGCAACCAACGACAACCACTTCGTGGTCGATTGTATTTCATGTTTTCATCTGGCGCCTGGTTACTTTTGTACTTTGTTGGTTTTCATGTGGCACATTAAATCACCCACTATAAAATTTAGTGTACCAAATTTTATTCAAGGGCAAGTAACAGTCTACTCTATGAAAAGTATGTTGTCGGGTTGACTCAGGAGACCTGGAGATTGAGACCGGTGTCCCTCCATTACAAATAGATAAGGCAGAAGCTGTCCATTTCAAAACTATGCCACATGTTAAAAAAAAATAGAATGTAACTATTCAGAATATGATTTGTTTTGAGACTTTATCAATTATATTGCTGGATCCAAGATTCAGGACATTTTCAATCAATAATGTATTATCATTTATAACTTTAAATGAAAGTCTCATCCCTTTAATAATAATGACATAACTCAGAGTAACTCTTTAAATTCAGAAATAATTTATAAATCTCATCATATCAATATACTAAGATATACATGTATGCACATAACATTAATAATTCCCAGTTTCTATTAAATAAATATGAAATCCTACCATTAACATTGGTACTAATGGATGGAATTCAAAATCTAGTAGAAAAGAAAACTAATAATATATAAACTCTGTTATAGATACTATTATTAGCCAGCTAACACTTGGTATAAACAAATTTAACCTGTAGACTGATCATGTATTATCATTTATAAATTTTAAATGCAAGTCTCATCCATCATAACTGTAAGTCTTTAAATACAGAAATACACATTATATCCATATACTATGATACACTTGTATGAACATTACATAAATAATTCTCAGGTTCCATTAAAAATAAATATAACATCCTATTAACATTGGTGTTTGGGGGGAATTCATAAATCTTGTAGAAAGAAAACTATAATGTACATGATATTGTATAGTATAAAAGTAAAAAAAATCTCAATAAAATCATATAATAAAGATTAAGTTGTGTGAGTTTCTAAACATTAAATGCATATCTCTTACAGTAACAAATACTGTCCCTCATTAGACTTTACTACAAAACTAACTGTAACTATATATATCAAGTGTTTAAAATGAGCACCATATGTTACATAATAATAGCTTAAATATTATTATCTACCTTTTCATTTTTACCAAAGGTTATTTTATGAGCAATTTACATACAAACACATAGAAAATAATAATTTCACATATTGATTAGAATATTCCTCTAGCAGAAATACCTATAGTATATGTGCTAACTGAACAAACTAGAAAAATCTGGTCTAATTAAGGTATATAAAGCCAGTAAAAAATATATATATCAATATTTACTCATCATGGCCTTTATGCTTTTGATTACCTTACAACTGGTAAATTTTATTAAACAAAAAATAGTAAGTAATACCTAACTTGTAGGGATTAAACGATGATCAAGTATAATCGATAATTGATCGTTTATAGGACCGATTAGCGATGATCGAATACAAAGTTCAATAATCGATCATCGGTTATTTATCTTCTTGCTCTTACTTAAGTGACTCGCTGTATTATAACAACACTTTAAATTAAAGCCAGCTTTGGTGTACCCAATAACTTTCATTAAAATGAATGAGAAAGCATACTGGTGACCATGAGATTAATAGTTGACAGTGAGGCATTCTGTAGTTTAAAAGACATACTATGCTCAAATTTAAAATTTAGAAAATGTCTACACAGTCTATTTGTAAATATATGAAATAAACATGTTTGACTTCAAACAAAGAAGATATGTATAAAATTATTCTACACACTGAAGATGGTAACAATATCAATATATGGTGTCATTAAAAAAACCTGGAATTTTTGTTAATGACCAACTTCTCTTGTTCTCATACATAGCTTATTCATTCCTTTATTGGAATTGAGACATAATAATTTCATAGATATAATGAATTTATTTGATTAAAATATTTTACTCAAGGATGAACATAAGCATGAGTAACTAGTTTATTTTAATCTTAAGTGGTAGTTACACATATATATAGATTATTAATGGAATTCTTATAAAATATTAAAGCATGATATGTGCATTGTACATATTTACTTTGTTATCGTAAATGTTTCGATTATATAATCGATGATTGGTCGATTATTTTCAATGATCGATTATGATTTTTTTCCAATTAAGAAACCCTATACCTAAAATAGACAGAAAAGAACAAATAATTTAGTAAACATGAGTTACTTCCCCTTAAAATAGAGAAAACCTAAAAAAAAAAACCAGAAGAACACCCCAAACATCAAAATTAAGAAATGTTGCAGGCTCAGTTTTATTAAGCCATGCAAATTCATGGTAAAGTATTCATAAAAAAATAGATGGCCATGTGACAGCAGTTTTTGCAGAAAATCTGATAGCTTTCAACATCCGGATACTGGTACACCTTGTAAAAACAACCATTCTGTGCAACAGATAAACGTAATATATAAAATTAATAGGATAATCGTTTATAACAGTCCATTACCTATCCTTATACTAATTGGCAGGTGAAATTTCTTCTTGTAGGAAAATTTTGAAAAAATATATATAAACGAATGGATATGGACACGACATCAATGTAGACCACAACGATATTCGAAATCCGGGTTTTAGTATTTCAAACAAATACAGTGTGTCGAAAGGATGTGCGGAATTGTGTAAATATATCACGCTGATATTTCGCGTGTTGATAAAAATACTGTTTAGATTCTACAAATGTATATGATTTGAAAGGAAAATGTTTCTATGTTACTTTTCACGGAAATGGGCTGTACAATGATTGCGTATTTAAAGCCAATAAAATGTCGGCTGTAGAAATCGAAAGGAATTTTGTCACGTGACTTTTGCCCATGCTACCGAAAACTACCCATCACAATATCACGGCGTTGAGACGCCGTGAAATAATTAGAGTATTTATCATAAACAACCACAGACAAGTTTTTTGTTGTTTAAACAAGAGTGATATAATTTTGAAATGTTCATACACAAACGTTTAGTTAATTTGATATAAACCTTATCTTTGTTTTAATAAGATCAACTGTTTGTTATTATTGTACTTCAATAATGGTAATACTTCTACTATAAATGCAGTCAAAAAATGACTTTTGTGTTTGTAAAATACTCTCAACCTTGTCAATGTTTTAGACTATTTGATATTTTTCAATAAATAGTAAATTTGTAGCTGAAATATTAACTTCGTATATGCTTTTCAAAACGTTTTGTTTCTAAATTTCATCTTGTATACATGTATTTAATTACAGAACTTTCTCGAAAGCAATTTGGGTGGTTTGTTAAAGAAATACGGTATAGATCCGAGGAAAATCAACACACAACTTGAAGAGTATGCAATGAAATGTGTCGAAGTGACGTGGTATCTTTGTGCCGAGGATCCTCCTGTATGTATGGTATTGGTATTAGATGAAGGAACACAACAGTTTGACGAAACTCTTTACGAACCCAGTACAAAGAGGGGTGCCATGATAGATTATGTTCTTTGGCCAGCTCTTAAACATTCTGAAAATGGGTCCGTGTTAGCCAAAGGAAACGTCGAGTGCAAAAATTAAACAGTATGAAGCATTATAGTACTAGATTTAAAGAAAGAATATTGTGAAATACATAGAAAGAAATACTGAAAATTAAATACCGATATAAACTATATAATCAACATTTATCAAATCATAAAGACATAAAACAATACTTTTGGCGGTGTTCAATTGTCAGTAAACTTCTTTTCTTTCTATAAACCAACCGGATAATTAAAATAAACTTGCCGTTGAGTTCACGTGAGCTTTCATTTTATGTTTTAAAGATCCTGTAACATATTTTCTTATGGCTTTATATGATAAATATAATGCTAAAATGAAAATGTATCAATATTGTAAGTTCTTAAAAGCATTATTTGTAAAGATATTACCGAGTTTAAATTTCATGTTAACAAAGGGAGGTAATTAGAAATTTATTTTCTATAAAATTTAAGTCAAATTTTTCAAAAAGAAATGAATGCATATGTTTTAATAACTACATATAATGTTTTTACAAATATTTGCAGTACATATTTTACATATTCTTGGATGTTTGAAAATTGTTTTAGAAGCATTTTTATATACATATATAAAATTTCACTTAAGTGTGGTAACAACCTTAATTACAACATACAGGATCTTTAAGGATATTGTCATAGATTCATGAAACTAAATTTTGTTTGTTCATGATTATTCCCATACTTACTAAAATATCTACATCTGTATTCAATGACCAACATACGCCGTTCAGAATAATATCCTAGTAAGATTTTGGTTTATGGACAAGACCGTAAAACAAATTATATAAAAGACACATTTTCTTATTATGGTATGAACATTTGGAACAATATACCTTTAAATATTCGTAATGTTGATAACCTTAAATGTTTTAAAAGAAAAATGCAAAAAAGCAAAACATATCTTGATGTTCGTATGAATGAATGAATGAATGAATGAATGAATGAATGAATGAATGAATGAATGAATGAATGAATGAATGAATGAATGAATGAATGAATGAATGAATGAATGAATGAATGAATGAATTACATATTGTACATTCATTTTTTTACCTATGCATATTGTTGTTGTTGTTTTTTCTATTCAGAAGGCCACATTGAAAATAAGATATATATACATTGTAATTGCTATTGTATATTCTTAATGTGTAACCTACTTTAAATAAAGATATTATTATTATTATTATTATTATTATTATTATTATTATAATTATTATTATTATTATTATTATTATTATTATTATTATTATTATTGTATTAAAGAACTATTGTATCGAGAAAAAATAGCAAATACACAACGACTTTTTCATAATTGTGTATGCTTAGTGCTTTATTAACCACTAAATTGGCAGATAATTTAATCTGCTGTCAAATTACATTGTAGTTAATTAAAAAGTGGTCTTATTTCAAAACAGTTTTGTGTTATTGTCTTTAAAAATTCGCTTTCTATTGTTTAATGCACTGCATTGTTATATTACATTGTTATTACAGTAGCAAATTATAGATTTCTAAATCAATACATTTATGAAATGATATACTATGTGTGTAAATAAATACATTGCGAAATCGCAATTCAGAAAATGTGTTTTACTTAATAATTAAATACGTAGAAAGATAATGTTAAGTGTGTATGCGGTAATAAATTTGTCATGGAAAGTAAGACAAGAACGGAGCTATTACTAACGATGCTGATGGAAAATCGGACGACAGAGGCTAGGCGACTAATGGGCCATACAGAATATGAGCTAAGCATGTTGCCGTCAAATTTAAATCGCGCTCAAAAAAGTGTTGTGAAAGAAATAAATGAAATAATTGCGCGTTTAAACGAAGGATATGACGGCTCGGCTATCACAAAGGCGAAACCAGCCCTAGCGAAATTCATAGAGTACCGATTGAACGGGTTCATTAAGGTAAAATACTTCTACGTATAAGTCATACTTAGGATCTTGTTTTACGACGAAAATTATTTTTGAAGGTTTCATTTGATATTTCTATTTTTGAATATTGCTACTTTCCACAAATACCTTATACTGAACCTGAATAATAGGTAACTGTTAAGATATATACATGTACATGCGAGAATATGATATTCATTATAAATGTTTCATAGTACAAATGGTTGAATTATTCAATGACTAAACTTTTTTTCAAGTCAGCGTTTAGTCATGCTAAAAAGGATAATGACTCCATGCTAGATTTCGTTTCTAAACTCTTGTTTAAATTATGTAATGAAAGTTATGACACCAATTTTTGTTATAATTTCAGAGTTTTCTATACAAGGATTTCTCGAGATACTATGATCCATTATCAGGGCAAGGTGATTCTTATGTGGATATCCCAACACAAACAACGACGCGTCGAAGAGTTCAAGGGTGGCAAAACATCATGTCCGACTTTTCTCAAAAGAAAGCAAGCAGAAGAGAAACGAAGGATTTATGGACAATAGACGGTATTCTCGAAGCAGGAGAGGACGCTGACCTGGAATGGGAAAGGTTAACGAAGAATATAATTGTATTGAAAAAAAATTGATTAAAAAAATAAATTATAATAGTACGTATTTCTGTTACGAATTTCGATGAAAAATACATGTATTTTAAATTTCTAAAGTTTGGTATATGCTATTTAAGCTATGACCACCCTAATAGGAAAATAAAAGGAATGTAAATGAGGGCCCATTCACTTAGTTTACTAAGGAACTATTAAACCATTCAATTTATAGATAAGAGGTATAAAGCTGGCGTAAAAGACAATTTATAATTGACAAATAGTACAAACATATGAGCCGCGTCAGGACAAAACCAACATAATGGGTTTGCGACCAGCATGGATCCAGATCAGCCTGCGCATCCGCGCAGTCTGATCAGGATTCATGCCGTTCGCTATCAGTTTCTCTACTTGTAATAGAGTTGGTAAGCGAACATCATGGATCCTGATCAGACTGCGCGGATGCGCAGGCTGATCTGGATGCATGCTGGTCGCAAACGCACTATGTTGGTTTTGTCATGACGCGGCTCATATATATTTTTCAGGTTTAAGTTACACGAAGATAAAGATAAAAAGGAAAGTAGGGATTTTAATACCCCTACGTATATCGCACAAACATTTACAGACCTGTATCATAATGAGTGGACTGAAGCCTTTAGAAAACTAAGCAAAAGAAAAATATACGATAGGACAATTATTGAATTGCTTTTGGCAATAGTGCAGGTATTTTTGCTTTCTATCTATAGTTAAAGAGTAAATTGAATTCATATACCCTAAAGTCCCGTAACATCTGAGCGCAAAGTGAATATAAGATAATTACTGGGAACAAGTTATTTATACTGATTAAGTTTCAACCGTGTAATTCTTATAATTTTGTTGATTAACAAAATAATCGTAACGTTTGCTTTTGTATTTCTTATCCAATTAAAAATAAGAGCTATTATTAATCGTATACGTGTTCATCTGTGAAGATGATACTGAATTCAAAACAAACTATAAAAGTTTTAGGAACGAAAAAGGTGGTTATGTTAGGTTCTAATTTAAACGTTTAAGTTTATGTTTCAATATATAATCTTACAAGATGATTTTTTATTCTAAATACTTTTTATATAAATGCATGGTATTCACGTGTTTCAGGGAGCATATGCATTTTGTAAAAAAGAAGCAACACGGCAACTACAAGATATACATTCAGCGTTCCTAGATATCCTTGAGTTTGGTTCACGTACTGATCATGTAAGTCCTATTTCATGTAAACATATACTAGTTGTTGCTTAATATTTGAATGCCTCTGAATACTTACCCTTAAATAGTTCTTAGTAACGTTAGATAAACTAAAAGGATGTTCGTTTTTCCTTATCAATATTTTTGTTATCCCTAACTATTTATTTAATGTAAGAAGTAAAGCACACAGATTATATTTGTTTCAGTATAGGGAAACGTCTGCAGACTCAAGTTTGCTAACAAAATACCGAAAGGATATGGCAGCCACAGCTTTGCCTAAGCTAATCAAGGTAATCATTCGCAATAACTAGATTAACCCCTATTTTTATAGTAAACAGATACACAATAAAAACTACAGCAATCATGAAATTCGTACTCCTTTAATATTTTGCATAGACGGTCCTTCCTATGAAAAGTAAGATGTATGGTACATATTCTTAATAACAGAGATATCAAACTATCTTTCAATCTATAATTAAGTTACTAGTATATTTGTTGATTTTTCTATTCGTATTTTGATATGCAAACATGCACCTTAAATTCGTACAAATGTTTAATATTATAGACATGAAAAAAATAAACGTGTTATAAGGAAACTAAAGGAACAACATAATCATTATGTAATATATGATACTTTTAGGAATTTTACGAGAAGTCTTTTAAAGAAATATGTGTAGCTTCGCTAGGTGTTGAACCTGAGAAAGATGGTATAGGTTCGTCATTCGCAAGAAAAGCTGTTGAAGTGACATGGTGGATGTGTGTTCAAGACCCTCCGGTCTATATGGTTCCTACTAGTAAAGAGGGATTCGATCCAAAACTCTACAATGCGTACAGTAAAACATCATCAAATCAGCTGTTATACTTTGTGTGGCCTGCATTACGTTTTTCTCTTAACGGTGAAATTTTACAGAAGGGTTTCGTACAATATAGATGATGATGATGAAAATCCATATATTCTTACCCTAATGTATATCATTTTGATTTGGTTTAAACATATTTATTTAAGCTCGATTGCGAATCAAGTTCTTGCAACTTATATTAATCACTTTCGAGTCCGCTTCCTGGAACCAACCAGTACTGGTATCATATGAAGAAAGATGGACGTAACCCGAGTAGGGCTCGAACCCATGATTTCTGAGTTGAGAGACAGACACCTTAACCACTAGGCCACCGCTCCCCTTTATCATTTTGATTAAACGGATGCAGAGGAAAAACAACTACAACAAAACGAAAAATTTATATTTTGATATTTCGATGACGCACGGTTCCATTGCATTGATTAAAAATTCAACGACGTTTTTATTTAATATAAGATCCACAGTCCAATAATAAATTATGAACATTTCATTCATATTTCACATTTTTTGCAAAATGTTATTTTTTATTTATTTAATATATATACCAATGTTTCATCTCAGTGTTCTTATATTTTTTACATTTGGTCCTTCGTGGCCAATGCGGCCTCAGTGGCGGAGAGGTTATGGTTGGAATCCCGTAATAGATTCTTTCATCTGAGGTAGCTATCTAGCTAGCTTACAGAAGGTCGGTGATTCTATCTAGTTGCCCGCAGTGTCGGTGTGACTTGAGATCCAACAAAACTATCCGTTTATTCCAATCCTTTTAGTGTTGAGCATTGAATACCGCTTAAGTCGGCATGCCAGAGATTGCATTCATGAACAGACTCAGTCATACCATGTAATTTGATCTTTAACTATTTGCTTCTGTTTTCATTGCTCTCTGGACACTCCCCTTTTCAGAACTTTTACACACAACAACAACTGGTGTAAAGTGCTGTGTAGCAGTTTTAATAGGTTGTCCCGTACTTAATCATGTAAAATTTTATCATTGACTCGTGTTGAGAGATGCTGCACTTTCAATTATTTCTAATGAAAATACTCAATGACATCGAGAATACTATTTCAAGGTAACTGCTTCGGGTTTTCCCTCCCTCTTTCAATCATTTAAAATTCCCATTTATGAAGACTGGCAAATAAATTCTACCAAACCTGGACCGATGTTTTAGTTACTTCCCTTTATTTCATTATTGATTTACAAACACTTTAGCTTTAGCTTTCTTTTTAAACTTTGTCCTTTCAAATATTATGTTTCCATCTCAACACGATTATTTCGGATTTTTTCTCATTAAATTTTCTGAATAGTATGTGACTGCAATATTTACTTAATTGCTGTTTCATATCAATTTTCCACGTCATCTGCGCAATAAAAAAAATACAATGTACATGTATAAGACATAAAATCTACCACAATCATTACTACAGTAATGTATTTTTGTAAAATAAATATATTAACAATGGTGGAATATCCTGCTCTAAAACCTGCTTGGGACTCGTCTATTTTTGTTAGATTCTTCAGCCCATGTACATTCTTTATTCTGCGTAAATGTCTTCATGAAAATATGTGTGCTTGAAAATTGTATACACCGTAAGTCATTCAAAGATCTACCCTTATGCTCAAAAAATACCTTTGAAAGTTCTTGGAATTGCGGACATGGAAATGAAATTAAATGAAAATGAAACAAAAATAAAATTTCACATCATTGATAAAGAATGCACACCACTATTAGTCCAGCAAACAGCAGTTGATCTAGGATTACTTAAATTCTGCATAAATAATGTGAATACAAATCAAAACAAAACAACATGGATAATATTTTATCAGAGTTAGGTGACAGATTTCAAGGATTGGGAAAACTCAAAGATTTCCAGCTACAACTACATATCAACAAAAATGTTAAGCCCATTGCACAGCCGAATCGCAGAATACCTTTCAAAATGCGACAGCAAGTCAGAGAAAAAATAAAACAACTACTAGATTCTATCGTCATAGAAAAAGTTGAAGGTGCTACACCATGGGTGTCACCCCTGGTAATTATTCCGAAAAGCAATGGAATGTGTGTAGACATGAGACAAGCAAATACAGCAGTTGAACGTGAACGGTTTTCAATGCAGAACATTGACGAAACACTAGAAGAACTTAGTGGAGCCAAATTCTTCACTAAACTAGATCTAAACATGGGATATCACCAGATAGAGCTTGACCCGGAATAAAATAACAACATTTGTCACAAACGATGGGATATATCGCTATCGTCGACTTATGTTTGGAATTTCCTGTGCTTCAGAAGTCTACCAACGTATAATACAACATACAATTCAAGACATACCAAACTGCAAAAATATTTCGGATGATATTTTGGTATATGGCACTACAAAAGAACAACATGACGCCACATTGCGTAAAGTTCTACAACGCCTTAGAGACAAAAACTCTGAACAAAAGTAAATGTGAATTCTGCAAGACAACCATCACATTTATGGGTCACACCCTCACCGCTGATGGACTCATGTCACATGATGACAAAATAAAGGCAGTGCTAAATACAACACCACCCAAAAATGTGAAAGAAGTTAAATCTTTCTTAGGACTGCTAAATTACTGCTCAAAATTTCTTCCCAATTTCGCAACAATTTCGGAACCTCTCAGAAAACTAACAAGAAAAAATGTTCCATTCGACTGGGAAAAAGAACAACAATCTGCGTTTGAACAATTAGAATCACTGATAACAAGTGCAAGTGTCATGGCTTTCTACAACCCAGAAGCTGAGACAACTCTTATAGTCGATGGCTCACCATTTGGTCTGGGTGCAATTTGCTTCAAAAACAAAACGATGGACATTTAAGACCTGTAGAACACTAAATGTTGAAAGGCGTTACAGTCAAATTGAAAGGGAATGCTTAGCAGTAACTTGGGGCATAGAAAAGTTTGACACTTATCTGTATGGATTAACCTTTAAAAATAATTACAGACCATAAACTGCTAGTCAACATTTTCAAGCCAACACAAAAACCTGCAGCTAGACTAGAAAGAATGCTACTTAGACTACAAAGCTACAAATTCAACATAGAATTTCAATCAGGAGCATTAAACCCAGCTGACATCCTCTCAAGGTCAACGTATAGTCAAGAAAAATGTGAGATATCAAATATCACAGAAGGTTACATGGATGATGTCTGCGAAAATGCCGTGCCAATGGCTATGACCTTAGATCAAATTGATAAAAAGTAATCTCAGGACAAATTCATTCAAGAAGTAATCAAGTGCATTCAGCATGACAAATGGCCGAAAAATCAAGATTTCAAGATTATCTACAAGTTACGCAATGAACTGTCGGTACATAATAACATTGTGTTACGGGGAAACAGAATTGTAATTCCACAGGGACTAAGGCCAAAAGTATTACAATTAGCACATGAAACACATCAACTCATCAAGACATAGTGAAAACAAAGCAAATGCTAAGAGAAAAAAAGTTTATTGGTCTGGCATTGACAACGAAATTGAAATGCTGATCAAGACGTGCTTCCAGTGCCAGCTAGTTTCAAACCCGCCACGACAACTTCCTATCACACCAACCGAATTACCAGAAATACCCTGGCAAACCGTTTGGACGGATTTAACAGGACCGTTCCCAGGGGGAGAATATATTCTTGTATTAATAGATTACTACTCTCGTTATCCGGAATTTGAAATAATGAAATCAATCACTTCAAGATGTATCATTCAAAGATTTATGAAAATATTCACCACACATCGACTTCCGTCAGTGATTAAAACGGACAATGCACCAAACATGGTATCTCAAGAAATCACAAACTTCTTCACTGCAAACGGAATAAAACACCAACGTGTTACGCCTTATTATCCGTAAGCAGCAGGATTGGTAGAACATTTCAACAAAATAATAGCAAAATGCTAGCAATGGAAAGAAAAACTGACGAACAGAAATCTACAAATTTTTGATGACATATCGAACAACCCCTCATGTATCCACAGGATCCGCACCTGCATCTTTGTTATTCAACAGAACAATAAGGAATAAACTACCACACTTTGGAAGAAAGAAAGATGATACAAAAGTAAGAAAAATGGATTCGTACAAAAAACAAAAAAATGAAGAATTACGCAGACAGGCAGGCAAATACTCGGATTATAACATATTAACTTGGACAGAAAGTGCTTATTCTAAACAAACATCAAGGAAAATAAGACTCAAAATGGAAAAATGAAATATACATTGTTATTGGACAAACGGGAATTCAAGTGGAATTAAAATCAAGACACAATGACATTGTGAGAAGGCATATCACTCAGATCCGTCCATTTTATCAGAGATAAAATGTCAGACTCATTCTCAATGATAACAAACTGACCATACAAACTAACAATTAAACTAAGAAAAATTAATGACATGTTTCAGTAAATGATTACTTTAAATTAAATAGCAATAAATGATATCATTCAAACTACCAGAGAAAACATTAAGATTAATGTTTACAAAATGTCTAAACTTTATTGCTCTGAAAACTTCATGCGTCTTAGATATTTACAAATGACATGCTAAATTATGTTCATGATTATAATGCTTTTATTTCAGGGAATTTGAGTTCATGAACTTTTTAAACTACTTGCATGTTAATCTTCTGAGAAAAAAGGCGGATGTAATATATTGACTCGCTATTGGTCAGCTATTATTAGCCACTCACTAGCTGATAAGATCCGCCTAAATTCACCTGGCATCACCTCTATGTAGGATCATTAGTAAATAGATTTAGAAACCAGACGGCTGCGTTGTTTAATCTCTCTACCCAGGCTTGTCCAGTAACTATGATATAGCAGACATTACAGGATAAGTCTAAAATCTAAGCTACTGGTCTAGTGCAGTGACCTTCAGTCATAATCGTTAGGACATATATGGTGTCTAGTAAGAACTGGTCTTGCACACAAAACTCGAATCAAATGTTTTCTAAGTTCGCAAAGAACTGCAATTCAATCAAATATGAATCTTGGATGATCTCTAAGAATTGTAATTTTGAAATCACATTTGTTTGGAGTGACTGAATTCATAAACGAGAATTTGCACCAGGTTTTTTTTTCTAAAAAAATTATAATGGAAACCAAACCTTTAAGAACATCAATTGCGATAAATTGAAAATGATACATGTTCGGTTTGATTGAGTCTGCTCATAGACGGTAGTCATAAACACAAGCTACCGTCTACGCCCTCTAGCACCGGCTTCAGCAGAAGTCAACTTGTATAGGTTCAAGTGAATGCACTCTTGAAACAGTTAATGAGATGAAGATGCGCACAGAACTTTAGCCATATGTGACGTCAACGCACGGGTGAGTAGAATAGCCCCGCTGTTCGAAACGAAATTTATTTATTTATTTATTTATTAGGTAGGAATTTGCATTTTTTGCTTTTGTTTAAAATGGACCATTTATATACATTGAATTAACTTTTTTCAAGGGATGAAAAGAGCTTTTTTATTGTATTAACGTTAAATTTCAGTTAAAGAAAATATCTTTTAAAAATAATAATAACTGTAATAATTGTCGTTTTTGAACAATGTAAAATATTTTTTTGAAATATAACATAAATCACCAAAATGTAACATTATTCAATGCCTTAGCGGCTAAGGTTAATGAAAAGGTCGAAATATGATATGCAATTTGAAAACGTTTTCTTTCATTAAAGCCTATAACTTAAGTTTTGTTAAAATAGCAATGTCACGTTATTACAATGGTATTATCACACGATCTTCTCACTTAATTTGCTACAACTTTAAACAAATATATGTTCTTAATGATATATAAACTTATAGACCTAACAAAAGACTATGTAGCAAATGAATTTTGGTAAGAATAGGAAACGTGTCGAAACAGTAATATTAGAGTAATAACATGGACCTAACAAGAGGTAAACTGGAAACGCTGTTTGATTTCTTGCGTTATAGGCAGTATGACGATGTACATAAGATTCTCGATGATGCCTCGGACGAATACAGGCAGCTATTTAGAGAATTGAATAGGGAAGAGAAAAGGAAAGTAAATTATGTTATGTCGATGATAGATTATTGTCGAACTGGCAAATGGATTCTGGCAGGGAATCAACTAGGTCCTGCTGAAGAAGAATACTATAAATATTTCTACAGAAAGCGTTCATCCTATAGAGAAGTGAGTAAAATTGTTCGCCTTAGTTAATTAGTTTTTTAGTTTTATAATTTTTGTATTATCATTGTGTATAACGATATAAAACGTAAAAAAAAAGAAAAATTGAGCCGTGTCACGACAAAACCAACATAATGGGTTTGCGACCAGCATGGATCCAGACCAGCCTGCACATCCGCGCAGTCTGATCAGGATCCATGCTGTCCGCTTACCAACTCTATTACAAGTAGAGAAACTGATAGCGAACAGCATGGATCCTGTTCAGACTGCGCGGATGCGCAGGCTGGTCTGGATCCATGCTGGTCGCAAACCCATTATGGTGGTTTTGTCGTGACACGGCTCAATTAAATTCTTAATGAATCTTTGTCGACATAGTAAAATCATAGTTACATTTTTTTGTAGCAATCGTTCAAAACGCTTAAGTTCAATCTTCAGCCCAATGAAAGGAAGGGCAGTAGCCAGTTTAATAAAAGCAATAGCACGATAAGACCTGTGTCAGAAACATATCCACGCGGATGGAAGGGAGATAGCAAGTTTGATAAAAACAAGATCACGTCAAGACCGGCGTCAGAAACATATGCACAGAGAAAAGATATGGCGTTGGGGTCAAATTTATTGTGAGATTTTTTTTTAAACATTTCACTTTTCAAGAATGTGTATTTCATTTACTTTTAGATGGTTTCATGTATATCTATGTATTCATTCTATTACCTTGTATCTTATTTACTTCCCATAATAACTCAAAAGTAGTTTCATGTGCATATATGTGCACATGTGTTTTTTATTTACTTCAGATATCAACTGTAAGATTGTTTCGAGAATATCATGAAAATACATATAAAATACATATGAGCCGTGTCATGACAAAACCAACATAATGGGTTTGCGACCAGCATGTATCCAGACTGGTCTCGATCCATGCTGGTCGCAAACCCATTATGTTGGTTTTTTCGTGACGCGGCTCATATTTATTTACGTAAATTTATTTACTTCAGATATAACGATAGTTTCAAATACATGTATATTTATATACAAACATGTATTTCTTTAACGTGAGATATAAACAGTGAGATAGGTCAACGTTTTGATGCAAACATGTGCTTTATTAACTTGATATATAAATAATACGATATGCTCATGTCTATTAATGCTCACATATGTATTTTATTTACTGTAAGAAAGTTTCATGTGAATTGTATTTATTTCAACATAGAGATCGGCTTATATATACATTGTATTTGTGCACAAATGTGTATTTCATGTATCTCAGATATCACTAATTAGACAGTTTCATATCTATTCACATATAGTTTCATATCTATTCACATATATTTTCATATCTATTCACATATAGTTTCATATCTATTCACATATAGTTTCATATCTATTCACATATAGTTTCATATCTATTCACATATAGTTTCATATCCATTCACATATAGTTTCATATCCATTCACATATAGTTTCATATCTATTCACATATAGTTTCATATCTATTCACATATAGTTTCATATCCATTCACAAATAGTTTCATATCTATTCACATATAGTTTCATATCTATTCACATATAGTTTCATATCTATTCAAATATAGTTTCATACCTATTCACCTATTTTCAAATCTATTCACATATAGTTTCATATCTATTCACATATAGTTTCATATCTATTCACATATAGTTTCATATCTATTCACATATAGTTTCATATCCATTCACATATAGTTTCATATCTATTCACATATAGTTTCATATCTATTCACATATAGTTTCATATCTATTCACATATATTTCATATCCATTCACATATAGTTTCATATCCATGCACATATAGTTTCATATCCATTCACATATAGTTTCATATCCATTCACATATAGTTTCATATCTATTCACATATATTTCATATCCATTCACATATATTTCATATCTATTCACATATATTTCATATCCATTCACATATAGTTTCATATCCATTCACATATAGTTTCATATCTATTCACATATATTTTCATATCCATTCACATATAGTTTCATATCTATTCACATATAGTTTCATATCTATTCACATATAGTTTCATATCTATTCACATATAGTTTCATATCTATTCACATATATTTTCATATCCATTCACATATATTTCATATCCATTCACATATAGTTTCATATCCATTCACATATAGTTTCATATCCATTCACATATAGTTTCATATCTATTCACATATAGTTTCATATCTATTCACATATAGTTTTCATATCTATTCACATATAGTTTCATATCTATTCACATATAGTTTCATATCTATTCACATATATTTTCATATCCATTCACATATATTTCATATATATTCACATATAGTTTCATATCTATTCACATATATTTCATATCCATTCACATATAGTTTCATATCCATTCACATATATTTCATATCTTTTCACATATAGTTTCATATCTATTCACATATAGTTTCATATCTATTCACACATAGTTTCATATCCATTCAGATATAGTTTCATATCTATTCACATATAGTTTCATATCTATTCACATATAGTTTCAAATCTATTCACATATAGTTTCATATCCATTCACATATAGTTTCATATCCATTCACATATAGTTTCATATCCATTCACATATAGTTTCATATCCATTCACATATAGTTTCATATCTATTCACATATAGTTTCATATCTTTTCACATATAGTTTCATATCTATTTACATATAGTTTCATATCTATTCACATATAGTTTCATATCTATTCATATATATTTTCATATCTATTCACATATAGTTTCATAACTATTCACATATATTTCATATCCATTCACATATAGTTTCATATCAATTCACATATATTTTCATATCCATTCACATATATTTCATATCTATTCACATATAGTTTCATATCTATTCACATATAGTTTCATATCTATTCACACATAGTTTCATATCTATTCATATATATTTTCATATCTATTCACATATAGTTTCATAACTATTCACATATATTTCATATCCATTCACATATAGTTTCATATCCATTCACATATAGTTTCATATCCATTCACATATATTTCATATCTATTCACATATAGTTTCATATCCATTCACATATAGTTTCATATCCATTCACGTATAGTTTCATATCTATTCACATATAGTTTCATATCCATTCACATATAGTTTCATATCTATTCATATATAGTTTCATATCCATTCACATATAGTTGCATATCTATTCACATATAGTTTCATATCCATTCACATATAGTTTCATATCCATTCACATATAGTTTCATATCCGTTCACATATAGTTTCATATCTATTCATATATAGTTTCATATCTATTCACATAAAGTTTCATATCCATTCACATATAGGTTCATATCTATTCACATATAGTTTCATATCTATTCACATATAGTTTCATATCCATTCACATATAGTTTCATATCCATTCACATATAGTTTCATATCCATTCACATACAGTTTCATATCTATTCACATATAGTTTCATATCTATTCTCATACAGTTTCATATCTATTCACATATAGTTTCATATCTATTCACATATAGTTTCATATCTATTCACATATAGTTTCATATCTATTCACATATATTTCATATCTATTCACATATAGTTTCATATCTATTCACATATAGTTTCATATCTATTCACATATAGTTTCATATCTATTCACATATAGTTTCATATCTATTCACATATATTTCATATCTATTCACATATAATTTCATATCTATTCACATATAGTTTCATATCTATTCACATATAGTTTCATATCTATTCACATATAGTTTCATATCCATTCACATATAGTTTCATATCTATTCACATATAGTTTCATATCCATTCACATATAGTTTCATATCCATTCACATATAGTTTCATATCTATTCACATATAGTTTCATATCCATTCACATATAGTTTCATATCTATTCACATATAGTTTCATATCTATTCACATATAGTTTCATATCTATTCACATATAGTTTCATATCTATTCACATATAGTTTCATATCCATTCACGTATGAACATTTCCTTACTTGATATATAAATAGTAAGATAGGTTCATGTTTGTTTATATTATTTACTGCAGATATCAACAGTACGATAGTTTCATCATAACATGTATTTGTTTACTCCATATATAAATAGTATGATAGATGTATGTATATTGATGCACACGTGTGTATTTTATAAACTTCAGACATAAACAGTAAATGCTTCAACAGACGGAAGGATTTTGAAGTACAACACCAATTAAAACTAAGATTTTAAAGCAAATTTTAATGTGTGAAGGCAACTATTTCTTGAATTCGTAAACCTTAAGTCTAGATGTAGGAGTAGAACATGTTTTATTTTGAAAATCTTGTCCTACAGATTTTTACAGACCTCCCACAATGACAAGTAACAGATTACCAAATCTCCTGATAATGGGTGTAATGAATGAAATTACAGAACAATTAGGGCTAAAAGGTAAACATAGTAGAAAGATGGGGTAAAATAATGTTGGAAAACTCTTCAGGAGACCCAAAGTTGTGGTATGTTCGAATCTCAAATTATTCCGAAAATGAGTATGTCATGGTATTGAACTGTTCTCTAATCAGGGGAGGTAGTTTATAGGCGGCCGGATAGCTCAGTCAGTAGAACCGCAGTGCGGTATTCCGAGGGTCCCAGGTTTGAGTCTCGGTCAGGCTGCACATTAAAAATTAATAATTTAAAAAAAGTGGAGGTGTTTCAATCATTACTCATGGGGAAAAATATTTAGTGAGTAAAGTAAGTAAGGGATCAATTGGGAGGGAACTTTTTTTAGGGAAACCTTATTTGATTCCTACAATGCAGAGTTAGAAAATTGTACATCTTATCTGTAATTAGTGTTGTACAACAAAATCCTACCGTCTGTTGAGGCCTTAAGATGCTTTTAGGTTCAGGTATATTTAAGCACACGTGGGTATTTTATTAACTTCATATATAAACAGTAAGATTTATGTAGGTTCATGTACATTTGTATATTTATGCGCACGTGTGTAGGTAGTTTTATAACCTCAGATATAAACAGTAAGATGAATGTAGCTCATGTATATATTTATGCACACGAGGGTATTTTATTAACTTCATAAATAAACAATTTGATGCATGTAGGTTCATGTATATTTATGCACACGTGTGTAGGTAGTTTTATAACTTCAGATATAAACGGAAAATGCCAATGAGGAAGCGTCATGTGACAGATCTAAGGGATCTCAGTGACATACAAAAAATTGCTGGAAAGTTGGAGGAAATATATCACAACGAATGGGCAGATGCTCTTGATGAATTGGAACACTTTAAGATAGATGAGTTTAACTCTATTAAGTGTCTTCTTAAGATACTGTTGGTAAGTTGGTAAATGTAATTATTGTTGTTGTTGCTTCTGCTACATTTGCTCCTCCACCTTTTTCTTTTTTCTCTCCTTCATCTAGCCGTTGTGACTGTTTACTCAATAATTGTAATTTTTGATGGTATTTTTTGTGTCATTATCAATTTTTGCATTGTTGAAATATTGTTTTTTATTCTCAATGAATCGTTAGGTCTAATTGATACATAGCTACAATCATGCTTATCTTTTTTAATAAATGAAATAAACATATTTTTAAACATATCCTTATGATTAGATGCGATAACTAAGAGAAAACTCTACTTCTATGGAAGTCCATCGACACCCTTTGTCCGCCCTATTTGCTTTCGGTTTATTCGTATTGTATTGCATTACTTTACATAAACACATGTCATGATAACAATCCATTAATATTTTTTCAGGATGCATACTATATATCAGTCGTTGAGGCGGACACGCAAATAACAAAGTTGGAAGATGCTGCAAGCAAAATACTTTTGGAGGGAGCCTATGCAACGGTTATTACATACAAATTCACAGATTATGACATGTTGACTGAATTATAACATGTATTCAGGCGAACATTTTTATTTGTCTTTAAATCTGCAAACTTGAATTTGTAAAACTTTTCAAAGCCTACAGTAAGTAAAGAGTTGTTAAGAAATTGCATAATCTTTAACCCACCTATCCGTTTGGTAAATCTATTCATAACATATTCGATATACTCGTTTCACTCTTCGGTCTCATCTCAGTTCTGTTTAAATGTATATGCCTAGACCTACAGCCAGGCCTAGACCTATAGCCATGCCTAGACCTATAGCCATGCCTAGACCTATAGCCATCAATAGCAGCTAGCGTCATGTTCCTTTATTCAAATGATATACAATGCATTAAGTTGTGATCTACACATTTTGATATACATTTTAGTCGTATGGTGAAGAGCTAAAAGATCAAAGGTCGTTATTGGTGAGATACAGAATGAGGATCGCAAATATATGCGTAGATCGGTTGCAAGAAGTGAGGACTTTTATCATTATATTCTACTCGCATGTATTTTAGATAACTTATCAATCGGATATTCTTATTTGATTTTCATATTCTACTTGTATATACTTTAGATTGGTTAAATCAATCGAACATTTTCACTAGATTCGTTATTCTTACTCGATTCTTAAATCAAACATTAGGTTTTAGCAGTAAATATTTGTATAATTTGAGTCGCGCCATGACAAAACCAACATAATGGGTTTGCGACCAGCATGGATCCAGACCAGCCTGCGCATCTGCGCAGTCTGATCAGGATCCATGCCGTTCGCTATCAGTTCCTCTACTTGTTAAAGGGTTTGTAAGCGGACAGCATAAATCCTGATCAGACTGCGCAGATGCGCAGGCTGATCTGGATCCATGCTGGTCGCAAACCCATTACGTTGGTTTTGTCATGACGCGGCTCATTTGATTTTTCAGACGTTCAGACGTCGTTATCTACCAGAGATCATCCGCACAGTAGGAGTATACCAAAACCTTCCCATACAAGGACCTGTTCATACATACGCCAGTCAGTGTGTGGCTATCAGCTGGGCAATGGCTGTACAATATCCACAGGCATATCTTGCAGACGACAGGGATAGGCAAAGACTCTTCAATAGAGAGTTTTATGACACATACACGAGATCTGGCCAATCTGTTGATTTCTTTGTCTGGCCGCCATTGTTAACTCATAAAAACGGAAAACTGGTTTCTAAGGGAATTGCACAAGGACTGTAAAATACATGACATGTTTAATTACGATATTGTTTATCATTTTGTAAATTTTGCTCGTACTATACACACGAGAAATCTGAATTGGTATCAGATTTGTTTTATTCGATTGTTGATTTAGACATCGTAATTGTGTGTAATTTCATTTTTGTTTCTTTTATATACTTTTATGTTCCTTAATGAGTGGCAGTAGCCACGAGTGAAATATGATAATTTTCATACCACAAGGTGAAAAATCCTGTATTTATGGGAAAAACTTAAATTTTCTGTTAATTATATACATTATCTTTTCTGATGTAACAGTGCATCAATTTTGTAAATTGACCGAGTTTAGAAGAAAGTGGTTCGGCAAGACACCAGTGAAAATACGGAAAATATGTTTCACAGCAGTAAAATAAATCTTTATAGTGAAAATACGGAAAATGAAAATAAAAGTTTTATTTCATCAATATTTCTCAATATTTCATTAAAAAGTATATAAAAATCAAATATATCTATTTCTTCTTGTATTTGAACAAAAAAGAAAGACACATATTTTGCTTAAGATTTTTTATCGATCATCGACTTATCAACTAATTGCATAATTTCAATATGTTTCAAAAATTAGTTGTCCATTTCATGTGTTTAAGTGCTTTATAGATATTGAACTTTTAGACTATACTTTGTTAAATTGTTCAAGCAGTGACGTTTTTGTCAATGCACGAATTTACTTGAAAATAAACTAAGGATAGACGTCCATTACAACAACGAAGATAGGCAGGATTGAAATTGTCCCACAACATTTTCCATTCCGTTGTATAGAACATAGCACGCCATTACAACAAATCTGCTTAGTTCCTGGGATTGTACGGTTCTGTTTCGTATCATTCTTTATACAGTTCTTTATCATCTAGCTTGCGATTACAACAAATCTGGTTATACGGTATTGTCCCACAGCATGATTTATTCTCTCCTTTAATGCTCACTACGTTATCACAACACATCTGGAATGTAGGAATGTATATACTTGTCCCACAACATTTATTCGGTTCTTCATAACTAAGCCAGTACAACAAATCAGAGAAAGGGAAGAAGGGGTGCCCGGTATTGTGTAACACCATTCTGTATTCAGTTCTTTAGATCTCAGCACGCCATTACAACAAATCTGGGAAGTAACATTGTATGTTCCTTGACCGCATACAGCTATTTTAGAACAAAGAGTGTAAATATACAGTTGTTTATCATACACTGTCGGTTTATTGGTTTTCATTGGTTTATTTCGAACAATGGCATAACATGACAACATAAAAATATTCATCCTTATATATTGAAACGTTTGTCATTCCGTCCACTTCAATATCTTTTAATTGGTTGATTCAACATAAGTGGAACTTTGCAGGAATGTAGGTATTAATAGAAAAATGAAGCATCAATATAAGGGTCCTTTTTACAATTTCTTTTAACCGGAACAAACTATTTAACGTTTTGAACAATATCTGACAACAATTATTTTGACTGTTATTAATATAAACGTATCATACCGTAACCGCATCATAGTATAAAGTTATATAGCAAAGTTGTGACAAGATTTTTCATATATCTTTCTTTATACAGTAAACTCCGCTTATAACGAACTCATTGGGACATTCAAAATCTGTTCCTTATATTCGGAGTTCCTTGTAAGCATATAGCGAATGGGTCACCTGGGTAATAAAAAACTAGGTCACACTGCTCAAATATAAATAATCCTTGTTAACTCTCAAGTGGTCACATTTTTGACTCACCTGTCATGAAACTTGGTCAGAATGCTTGCCAAGGCAATTGTTCGGATGACTTCGATGGGTCAGGTGAGCGATCTAGGGTCATCATTGGCCCTCTTGTCTATTTTTAGCTCCGGTGACCTAGCTTA